ATATATATATATATATATATATATATATATATCTTTAGATGACTCCCATAGGGTAAATCAGTGAAATGGTACTCTTTTATATATTCGGTCTATGCAAAAGTAATTGCAAAAACTGCAATTACTGACTGTCTTCTGAGTTGTACTGTTAATATGAGCATATGAGGCAGTCCCCTGGGTCACACACAGAAAACTCAAGTTTCCAAATGTGAGGACAAGACCTTGAAACATGAGGTCTGCACCATGGTAAGGGCACCAAAGCTCACTGTGTCTTGGTGACAGGGCTGCTGGCTTTCTCCTGAATCTCTTTCTACTTTACTTTGGCCCACTTTGAATTTTTTTTTGAAATGGAGTTTCACTCTGTGACCCAGGCTAGAGTGCAGGGGTGCGATCTCAGCTTACTGCAACCTCCACCCCCAGGTTCAAGCGATTCTCCTGCCTCAGCCTTCTAAGTAGCTGGGATTACATGTGCCTGCTACCATGCCCAGCTAATTTGTGTATCTTTAGTAGAAATGGGATTTCACCATGTTGGCCAAGCTGGTCTCAAACTCCTGACCTCAGGTAATCCACCCACCTTAGCCTCCCAAAGTTCTGGGATTACAGGTGTGAGCCACCTTGCCCAGCCCCACTTTGATTTTAACAAAACATATCCAGATTACTTCAAGAGAGTGTGAGAAAGGCACCATAAGAATATTAGTGATATTGACAAAAGCATTATTCAGAAAGAAGAATTATCATTTACAGCTGATATAATCCAAAAAAGGTTCATGGTGGAAAAAGTTTAGGATTTCCACAAAAAGACAAGACATTTGAAGTTGTTCACAGAAACAGTGAACAACCGGAACAAAGGAAAAAATGATGGAACTGAGTAGGGAAGTTTAAGACAAAAGGAATTATTTGACAAGACCGCATATGAGATTCTATAGGAGAGCTATAAGAAAGTGAAGGTTTAAAAGGAAAACATTAATGATCGAACAAATCATAAGAACTATTACTATATATATGTTCTTGGGCCTGACCAATAATCTCATTTTGTGCATCTTTTTTATTCATATTTGGTCTCTGAAAAGCAACTAAAGATTAATCTCTCTTTTTTAACTGAATGTATAAGGCAACAGCTTCGTACTACCTGATATTTTCAAAAAACAAAGCAGAGACTAACTTCAAGAAAATTCTCAATTGTTAGAGGTGGCAATAGAGTAGTCTATATCCTAATAAGTCACCAAGTCTGCACAAGACATCTCTTTGAGAATAGCTTGGGAACAAAGATATTCAAATGGCCTCCAAAAGGTGCCGTAAGAACATTAGTGACATGGACAATAATCTTGTCCTATCTTAATAGTTCTTTTACAATGAAAAATAAAGTGTAATCAGAAGTGTCACTAAATCAGAAACAACAGTTACAAAGTTAATTAACTATTTTATTGTCCAAAATAAGAAAATCTGAAAAGTAAATTAGTTAATGCTAATGTCTTACAGGGATAAACACTGTCTTTATGACGTCCTTTGCAATGGCAACTAGAAAAAAATTTATTATCAAAAAGAAATTCTTAGAAGCAAGGCAAACTCAAAGGACTTTCTGCATCAATTTTATGTTTACTTATTTTTTAAAGACAGAGTCTCACTATGTCACCTAGGCTGGAGTGCAGTGGCACAATCACAGCTTGCTGCAGCCTTGAACTCTTGCCTCAAGCAATCCTCTCACGTCAGCCTCCTGAGTAGCCCAGACTACGGGCACAAGCCACTGCTCCCTGCCTGCATGTATTTCAGATTCACTGTGAGAAACAGAGAATTGGCTGCATTTGTGTTCTTTGTTATGCTGCCAGCACCCAGAACAGTGACTGACATGTAACAGGCAGTCAATAATATTTGATGTGTGAGTAAAAACCTCTCCCCTATTTGTTTTTCACATGCAAACTCTATACAACCAAATCAAACTAACCCAACAGGATTCAAATTCTTCTCCTAACCCATATGAAACTGTAAAAAGAACTATTAAGGTAGGACAAATAGAAAGACAGGAATCTGGAATAAGAGCATTATTAGGCTATTACAAATAATTTTTTAATACTCACATATTTGAGATTTTTTTCCAATTTATACCATGATGGCAAGTGGAAAAAAAAACAATGTGAAGGAAGGAAAGAAGGGAGGGAGTACCAACATGTGGTGATGAACACAGAGCAAAGGGATTTTTTAGTTCTATCCAGCATAGCTTTTTTAAAAATACATGACTTCAACAAAATAATCATATTTTAACATTTTCATTAGCAGGATCAAGGGCTAAAATAATACCCATGAAGCAAACTTTAAATGTTGTATAATTACCATTGCTCTGAGACTATTTCAAGAAAGTCTTTATTAAACATGTAGAGGGCTTTGTAAAGAATATATCAATATTTCATTATCTTTACAATCTGAATCTTGAACCAAATTTAAAAGACATTTTCTACTGATGTGCTGACAAGATGAAAGAGAAACACAGACAAGAAACATTAAATATTTCCTTTGGGTTATATAAAATTGGGTACTTTTAACACCAATTTTAAATACTTCAAATGCAGCTTAATACCATTAGAACACATCTTCACTCATAAAAAGACACAGGGAGAATTGATCCATATCTATTTCCAAATGTTTCATCCATTTTTAATCTAATTTGCATAAGTGTAATTTGAATTAAGCCATTTCCCTTTGTGAGGTCTTTTCCTTTGATTTTTAATGTATACTGATAATCACCTCATCTATGCTAGGTAAAAGCAGGAAATGGTAGCTGCCCAGTTACACTTCATTCATGATTACCACATCATCCACGATTGCTACATAACTCTAAATTAATGGAGGCATCACAGGTCCACCTCATGCAGAACAACTAGAGGTATGAAAACCTTCATGGATCCAATGAGGAATTATCAGTAACACCTTTTTACTATGCATTCTGCAAGTTTCAGCTGCAAAATAAATAATAATTCACTGTTCTCTCAAAGAAAAAAGGTCCCTTCTGTCTGTAGAAAGGGTTCAATTGCTTTAGAACAAAAATATTTTCCAATTTAGAAACTCTTGTGAAATAATAAAGGAAAATAATCCTGATTCCTGGTTTTGGGGATCCTGAATTAAAAAGAAATGAATCCATAGGAATTTCTACATATAAGAAAATTAGTCATTAATATTATATTATCAATATTCAAACTAGGGTTCATAAAATATCTTTATATTAAAATTTCATTCAGCAATTCCATGAAATAAAATCAAAATATTTCCAATACAGTTTAAAATGAGAAAGTCACCTCAACTTGTGCTGCCAAATGTGCTTTCTCCTTGTCTTTTCGCTCCATGCACCGTTTCACTTCCTCTAACTCAGATGCCATTGCATTGAAGTTCAGCTGCACTCTCAAATCTGACATCTGCTTCTCCAGATCCTGTTTTTCCCGCTCGACCCCTTAAAAGACAAAATGTGAAATTCAACGGTTGTTCTTGATTCACAGGAGAATGTACTTTCAAATAGTACTGGGCCCTGGTGTTTCCATATTCTAGCTAACATAATACATTTATTGACACTGTTACTCAACAGATTTTACCAGCCTGTTGTCTCAAGTTTTATACAGTTTTCAAAAACATATACATTGCTATGTCATCAAATATTATTCCAGTTTGATACTAAAACTTTAAATGTTACCTGATTTCTACTGCAATTTATTTCAAGAAAATCACACACATTTTAAAATTTAATTTTCCTCACACCTCTACACTATCTTCAAACAATAAAACAAAAATACAAAAAGAGTTTTCAACTAAGCTACTTCATCTACAGAATATTTTCTTACAACATAAACAACAAATGATGCTGTTAAATCTCTGATTGTGTATGACCAACCAATTTACTAATCCTTACTAATCTGGAGATTATTCCCTAAAATTAATATATAATTTAACAATATAAGTTGACTGAGTATTTAAATCAACATGAAACACTTGATCTATGATACACAGGGCACTATAATACCTCCTTCTAATATAAGGACAAATAATATAAAAATTCATACTCAATGAGCTTACATCCTGATGTGGTTTGGCTGTCTCCCCACCCAAACCTCATCTTGAATTATAGCTGCCATAATTCCCACATGCTAAAGGGACCAAGTGGGAGGTAATTGAATCATGGGGGCAGCTGTTTCCCATGCTGTTCTCATGATAGTGAATGAGTCTCACAAGATTTGATGGTTTTATAGAGTTTCCCTACATAAGCTCTCTTGCCTTTGTAAGATGTGCCTTTGCTTCTCCTCTTCTACTTTCCCTTCCATCATGATTGTGAAGCCTCCCCAGCCATGTGGACCTATAAGTCCATTAAATCTCTTTCCTTTACAAATGATACAATCTCAAGTGTGTCTTTATTAGCAATGTGAGAACAGACTAATACACATCACAAGAATGGAGACAAAATATAAAGTACTTTATGGAGTCTAAAATGTTAACAATTAGAACATAAACTGTCACTTTAAAACTACTATCTTTCTAGTAGTTTTCTTTCCAGAAAAAAAAAAAAAAGGAGAGAATGAAAGAAGAAAACACTAACAAATCAAATGTATACATAATTCATTCCAACTTCAGAATATCAGTGTTCAAAATTATACATGTTAGAACGTAAGACATATGGGCATTTCAATAGGATGATAAGATCACTGATAGATACATGTGGATTATACAGAAACAGTACAAACAGGAAAGGGATTAGCTCCATCTCAGTGAGGAACTAAGGCAGGAAGAACAGAGATGTAAGTCAGACTTAAGGAATGAATACAAAATTTCACCAAGCAAAGGAGAAGAAGTTGGGGTGTATTTAGGGAAAGAACATACCACAAAGCATACAAAAGGTACAAAATTGAATTTAACATTCAGGTAATTGCACACACAGCAGTTTGTTTTCTTTTTAGACGGAGTCTTTCTCTATTACCCAGGCTGGAGTGCAGAGGCACAATCTCGGCTCACTACAACCTCTGCCTCCCAAGTTCAAGCGATTCTCCTGCCTCAGCCTCCTGAGCAGCTGAGACTACAGGTGCCCACCACCATGCCCGGCTAATTTTTGAACTTTTAGTAGAGAGGGGGTTTTACAATATTGGGCAGGCTGATCTCCCGACCTCGTGATCTGCCTGCTTTGGCCTCCCGAAGTGCTGGGATTACAGGTGTGAGCCACTGCACCTGGCCCCACAGTAGTTTTAAGCAGCTAATACATCTCATACACTATCAGTGTGGGAGGAAGGAGAGTCAACAGAGTTTGTGTTGCTAGGAAACAGAATTTATCCTACAAACCAAGTGTCAGCAAACATTTTCTATAAAGGATCAGATAATAAATATCTTAGCTATATGATTTCTGTCACAACTAGCCACTTCCACCATTATATTGTAAAAGTAGCCTAGACAGTGCATAAATGAATGGGAGTAGCTGTGTTCCAATAAAGCTTATTTACAAAAACAGGTGACAGTCTGGATTTGGCACATAAGCCCTATTTTCCCTACTCCTGATAGTTCTCCAACCTGCAAAGGTACAAATTTATCTATTTGTAAATGTATTTGTTCATTTTATAAACATATGTTTTATTTATATATGTGTATATGTATATTTGTGTGCATATAACTTATGTTTCAATAATATGTATATATCAATACATGTTTCCTGATATATATACATGGATGTAACATTAGAATGAAGATATTATATAAAATATGAAGGCACATATATGTATATATGTATACTTTATGAACCATATATTTGATAGGGAGACATTTGGTATGTTTACTTATATATACATATATACTACTAAAGATAAATATACACATACATCTATACATACACACATGTAGTATATGTAATGAAATATTTACCAAAGTTAAAAATATTTAAAACAAACAGTATAAAATATAAACAGCATTACAAACACTCCATTTTGGAGAATGCTTGGTCGGTGTACGACAGCAATTGAGATCTCCAGTCTGGGAAAAGAATAACCGGAGTCAGCTGCTTCCCTCATGTATGATCTTGGGCAAGTGACTCAACCTATTTATTCTCAGGTCCTTTTTTAAAAAATCATTAAAATAGAAATAAGAATAGTGCCCTTTAGTAGTGGAAAAGAAAATAGATTACAGAGAAGCCAGAACAGTAAGACAAGAGAATACGTCATGTCCTATACTGACTCAAGCATGCTTAAGCTGGGGCAGTGAGAATAAGAAAAAGAATGTAGCAAATCCAAGAGCCATCAGGGTGTATAAATAGGCATGAGGTAGAGACTAGTTAGAGGAGAGAATAAGTCATTTCTATATTCTTTGCAATTTAGGCTTGGATGTCTGGATGGAGGATGATGTCATACACTAAGACAGCAAAGAAAGACAGGTTTTGAGGAGAGGATGAATTCAGCTGCTTATCTGTTGATCTGTAAACATCAGAGCATTCTGAGGAAAAGTATATGAAGATATCCAATGACCAACTCCATCTGGAGGGCCAAAGGTTAGGAGAGCAAATAGAGTTAAAGTTAGGAATTATCACTTCTAGGTGATAATTTTTAATCAATTCCCAGGCAGAAATACTAAGGAACAAAAGCCATGAATAAAATACTAGGCAAAACCAACATTTAAAAGACAAACTGTGAACACAGCCGAAAGATTCAAATACAAAGAATGTAAGACAGAGTAGGAAAGGCGAGGGACATGGAAGTCAGAGGAAGCATTTCAGGAAGGAAGAAAAAGTAAGCAGGTAACAGTAAAATAAGTAAAAAACAATCTCCTTGGAATTAACGGAGGAGATTGCTAGCAAACCACGCAAAGTCAATTTCACAAATAGAGGTGGAATCCATTTGGCAGTGGGCAGAGGAAGAAATAGCCCCTGAAAACGGGTAAGTATGATTTCTAATGTAGAACTGTCTTTAAATAATGTAAGTATTCTGCAAAGATGAAAAACTCTACAATTGTTAAAAGGCAATGAAGTTCATTATCACATACATGAAAGACCTTCCAAAATGTTTCCATACCTGATAAGTAGTTAAGAAAAGCTCAACATTTTTTAGTCCTCAAAGACTTACAACAAAAATAATTACATTTTATGAGGTATCAAAACATATAACACATGTGTTGGATCTTTTTTCCAACAATTTCCATGTGTATCATTTATGAAATCTGATGAAGAATCTAATAGCTTAGGATCTTTTAAAAATAAGTGATATTCTGATATTTAAATTATATCACATGAAACTTAATGGCATGGAACTAAAAATACGCTACGGTTTGGATATAGTGTATTTGTCCTCACCAAATCTCACTGTGAAATTTTATCCCCACTATGGCTGTGTTAGTAGATGGGGCCTAATGGGAGGTGTTTGGGTCATGGAGATGGATCCCTCACGAATGGCTTGATGTCCTTCTTGTAGTAATGAGTGAGTTCTTGCTCTCCTGAGACTGACTGGTTCTCAAGGGAACTGATTAGTTCACACAAGAGTAGGCTGTTAGAAAGCCAGTACATTCCTTGAATTTAGTCCCGCTTTACACATGCCCACTCTCCATTTGAACTTCTTTGCCATATTTTGATGGAGCATAAAACTCCTCACCAGAATTCAAGCAGATGCTAGAGCCATGCTTCTGGTACTGCCTACAGGATTGCACCCTAAATAAAGCTCTTTTCTCTGTAAATTATCCAGCCTCAGGTATTCCTTTACGGTAACACAAAACAGACTAAGAAAACATATTAGAATAGCTTTGTCAAAACTTGTCATCCATTGAAGATTTTCTGGCAATGTGGAAATTCTAGCTTAGGCAACATATGGATGTCTTTGGAAAGCCCAGGGCAACGTTTACCTTCCGTTAATTCCATAGTACATCAAACATTTGTCAGAATTTTGCCAATAATTTGAGCATTTGAGTAGAAAGTCTCATTATTGGAATAATACAGAAGCTACGCAATGTGAACTCACCTAATATAAACCATTATATATAATCTCAAAATTACCATTACTAATCCTGAACATACCTCCAGTCATTAAATTCCATAACTAAAATTAATACCTCCACTGAGAAAGTATCCTAATACTTTTCAAACACAAAGTGTTCCTAGTCCACATAAAAAGCCAGTGATACCACTCATAACCACTTCTGAGGTGTGATTACTTTTTGTCACCAACACCAGATAACAAAAAAGAGAGGGTCTTAACTTTAATTTCTCACATACTGAAAACTGAGGAGAATGTGAAAAACAGAGTGACATTTACAATTTAAGTACAAAGACTGGTACTCACACAAACATATGCACATATATTTGGGCATGGGGATAGGAGGCTGGAAAAACTACTGCTTTTGCAGGCTCTAAGAGAAAACCCCAAGATTAAATAGGTCTAATAACTAAAATAGGTTTGAACCAAGCAGGGAAGATATTAAAACATGATGATGCTAAATTATTATCAACTTATCGGAAAATTTTTAATAGATCAAGAAACAGTATGATGTAAGCATCAAAAAGGAATGCAATTCTCAGGATGAAAAGTATTTCCTAAGAAAGACCAAAAAGCTCCCACACAAATTATCACAGTATTAGGTATAAATCTACAATTTACCTCTTCTAAACCTCCAGTCCTCCCCTTGTTCATCCTGATAGTTTGACGGTTGCTTGGAAATCTGTGACACTTGATGCTGTAAACCTTTTCGATCACCCTCTGCTTTCGTAAGTTGTGTACGCAGTTCTTCTACCTAAACGCATAGTCAAAAGTCAAACATCAGTTTTCACAATCAGAAAATGATTTACTTCACATGGGCTACTGTAAACACAAGTTGAATCCAGGTTAATTTACTTCCAAGCATAGTGGAATGGTTTCCTGCTCCATTTCCTCATTCTTCTCAGTTCGTCCACAAAGAATAAATGAATGCTTTTTCCTTCTCTGTGTCGATTGTGGCAAAGAAAGTGACTGGATTTTTTTAAATCACTTATTTTGTCCTCAGTCTACTCCATTACTAATAACCAAAACCACCTTCAATTAAGTATTATATGTTTTTATATTTTTCTGTTTTCACCCATTTGCTTTCATGTGAACATGGTCTACTGGTTGTTAAATTCAAGGGAAATAATCATGATTTAGAATATTTTGATACTAGCATCATGCTCAAAATAAGTACGCAACAGATGCTGTTGAATAAACTTTAAACTCCTTGAAGTCAGGGACTGATTTGTTCATCTTTCTATCCTTAGAGTACCAAATTACCTAGCACATAGCAGGTACTTCCAAACGGCCATTAAACACATTAGCAATGGCAAAAAGATTCAGCTGAATCACAAGGACAGTCTAAACAAAGAAATCTCTTACTTCAAAAACTGAAATTGGAGATTATAAGTCAGAGTTCCAAACAAATCAGAATGGAATTAAATACAAATATAAACTTCCAAAAAGGAAAGTTTGAACTCTGCCAAAATTAATTCCATGTGACCACTGGCTGCGGAACAAAGTCAGTGGATATTTTCAAAGGTTTTGTAAAACAGGTGCTATCTTATATTTTCAGCACCAGTTGTCAGAACGTAACACTCCTTCTAAACATCTATAAGGCTTGACATCTTTGCCTACCACTAGCATATTCTAAAGGTGAGTTATATAACACACGCTACAAAACAGAAGAAAGTATAATTGCAGTTTGTTTTAAACACAGAGAGGCGGTTAGAAACTCATAAGCCCTTATCCAATGTAAGATGGTTATTTAAAGTTATTGAACTTTAAACATCAGAAGCACCAAACTCCCATTATGGGCTGATGGAATGCAAAATGTTATACTTAAAAATCAAGCCTTATCTTTGGTTAAACGGGTCAGGTAGTATCTTGAAAACATAAATTAAAGACAATGGCATACTCAAAGTAACCTGAACATGCAAAGGTCTCTTTTATATAGTTTACTTCTTCCTTTACTCTCCAATGCCTCCTGGAATAAAATTAAGTTCCTGGGAAAATTTTATCTTATACATTCAGTCTTACTTTTACACTGCTCATGCTAAGAGAGATAAGTAATGAGTTGTAGCAGCAATCAGCAAGATACACCATCACAGTGGGGACTTTGGCTGGTGTTTGTACTAGCTTTCTCTGGATTTCCCTGAAAGAATTTTATCTTTTACTTAGGTGTGTTAATATACATTCCTTAGGAAAAAATTTTTCTAGACCAAGTTTATTTTTTGTTCCTTTCACAAAGACATTTAAATACAGCTACTCAATCCTGATTTAATGTAAAAGTATATTATAATAGTTTGCATAGACTTACCTGATGCAAAAGTGTTTCTCTGCTGCCTTCTGATTGATTCAATAACCTTCGAGATAGCTCCAATTCCTGTTCAAGCTAGAGTTTTAACAAAAGATAAAGAAAAACGTCCAAAGGAGCAGAAGATAATTAAATTATTATGGGCAAAGTTTAAAAGGAAAAAAATAGAAAAGTTTTCAGAAGACATTTACAGCTAATGTAAAAGAATAAATATCTTACTATGAACATATATCAATACTTTAATGTTAATTGTATAACACAAAGTGAACTAGACCAGGCCTCAGGAAGTCTGGGATGTGGTAAGGTTCATCTCAACTGTGAGCCAGAACAAGTCTCTTCTCCTTAGGCCTCCATTCTGTCATCTCTAAAGTAAGAATTTTATGTTAGACAATCTCTGAGATCCCTTCCAGTTCTAAATTAATTTAATCTAAATCCTAAGGCAATTTTTTCTTTAAATTAGAATATGTAGTGTCAAATTAACTAAATTAGAATAAAAACTGCAGGGACCCAATGTCTCAAAAGTTTCATCTAATTGGTGATTTCCTATATTCCTAATATTTCTACTATTCATAAGACATTCCTTAAATTTTTAAACGTCTAAATTCAGAATGAAACATTTAAAATTTCTTTAATGATAATGCCATTAGATAAATATCTATAAAAAATGTGACTAGTTAGGTGACTAAGTATTCTACAAACTCCTAATATGCCTAGATGATTTCACGTTGAAACATGTAATAGGATAGAATACAAGTTTGTTAAAAAATTTGGAGCTTATATGTGCTACACTTGTTTGTATTTTGTAACAGTAAGGTTGTTTCATAAAAATTACACATTTATATTAAGACACTTGTTTAAAATACTTAGCCTAAATTATTGCTTCCATTGAACAACTGCTATCTGTATATTAATCCTTTCATAACTGTACATGTGGTAGGTATGCCTGTGAAAGAGCGTAAGGGAACCTTGTGGTGATGGAACAGTTCTGTATCCTGATGGTGATAGTGGTAACAAGAATCTATACAAGATAAAAATGGGTAGAACTTCACACACACACACACAAATGAGTATATATAAATCTGGTGAAATCTGTATAAACTAAGTAGATTGTACCAACGCCAATTTTCTGGTTTTAATATTGAATGGCAGTTATGCAAAAATGTTACCATTGAGGGAATCTGGGTGCATGGGACCTCTCTGTGGATCTAGTTTTACAATATCCTATAAATCTGTAATTATTTCAAAATGTATCTTTAAATCCCATTACATAATTTTTTAAAAATTATACATGTGGCTCATTAAAAAAAGTCACATAAAAAAAAAAGTAAAGTATATGTGGGAATCACAGAATGCATACAAAATACTGTCTGACCTGTTGTTTAGTCTCTATGGAGAAATAGAGGGAAGAAACCACACTTGAAGCAAAATGACTTTGAAATCAACCAAAGCCCATATTGGTCATAATCCCTGTGTAATTTCTACATCGCAACTCCCAAAGGGCAAATTTAATGACCTAACATACTTTGCTTACCCTAAAAGCAGAAGGGAAGCTGCCTTTACATGCGTTGGTGAAATAAAATAAAGGAGGTAATGGTAGGTAGAAAGCAGCGATATGGAGTAAAGAACAGGGCAAATTTTCACTTCACCATTCATTACTTTGAGTTCATCCTTAAATCTACTTATTCGCAAATTAAGGAAGAGTGGTTTGGCCTCTGAATTCCTTTCTAACTCTAAAGTGCTAAGCTCTGTGTATTCATAGACATGAACACACAGTTCATAAACATGAACATATATCAAAGGTCTCTATTTTAATAGAAACAGAAAATGTTTTCAGAACTGGGCTGCTAACTCTATCTGTCCACTATAATGAAAATGAATATAACCAAAATATTCAGGTCTCCAAATGACAGGTCTTTTCTAACCCTGCAACAAAGTCAAGTTCTTTAAATGTTTCCAACAAGGAAAAGTAAAGTTTAATGCACCTCTCAGAAAGGAGAGTGGTCATAGCTGACAAACAAGGTAGCAAACGACTTTCATATCTGTTTCCAAGAGAAAGTGCTGGCAAGTAAAAGAGGCGTTGAACCAGTTGACTCCTCATTGAAAGATAAAGATCTCACACTGTTCTAAAGGATCCTGGGGACACTTTTCAAAGCACTCCACAAATACGACTGGCCCAAACCACTTTATTCTTTGAAAGATAACTTTCAATATCTTACTTGATTCTTCTCAGTTTCAGTTTGTCTTAGCTTATTTTTTATTGCTCCTTCATTCTCATCTGCTTTAGCTTCTTGTTTCTTCAATGCCTGGAACAAAAGAGGTGGAAAAAAAAATCATTCCAAAATATGTATAAAACTGAAAGTCACTAGTAGAATTTATTATGTGTTAGGACTGAGGAAGATATGGATATGAGTTACACAAAATCTATAAATAAATCACAACCTGCTCATTCACTTCACTGTAGCCCTAAGAACACTTCAGTGGAGATAAAATATAAACAATTCCTGATCATCCTAATTAATATTCATGTCATTTCCTTTTTTCTCCATTTTTGGGAATTTTATTACATTATTTACAGAACCTAGATTGCTAATGGTTTTCTTAGAAACAAATCTTCTTTTCTACAATTTCCCCTCTTTAATAAAATGAGGAAAAAGAAAATAGACATTTCAAAAATTAACTACAAAAGTGTTTGTTTTGGTTTGTTTCTATGTTAAAACAAACTTAAAGGGAAAAAAATCATACTTGGAACTGTCTTTCATAACATCTGAAATGCATTCCATTGTTTAAAAAATATTTTTTAACAATTTTAGTGTTTAGACTTAGCAAGGTGTATGTGTAAAGTCCATATGACTTGTGAAAAGCCAAGCAGCCAGAAGCCTTTGCCAACAAGATCAACAGAAAAATAATTTTCAGGTAAACAGCAAAATATATTAAAAATTGCTTTGATGCAAGTTTACTCAATCATTTCAGCTCCCTCTGCCATAATTCCCACTCTCAAATAGCAATTGAGTTAAAAGGCAGAGAAGCATCAACAAAATGAAAAATAATTATGTTTTGAGAATAATATTACCACATTTTTATAGTGTTTAGTATGTCCAGGCATTCTTCTTCTTCTTATATATAATAAATAAATATGTTACATATATTCCAAATATACATTTAATCCTCATGATGATTCCTTGAGTTATTATTATACTAAGCCCATTTTATTAAGGGGTAAATTGGAGCACAAGTGGTTGAATAATTTGCCTAATATTACTCACCTACTTAGTGACAAAGACAGGATATAGATTCTGGCTGCCTGTCTCTTAACAACTGAGTGCACTGCTTCGTCATATTGAAATAATAATACCAACCTTATAGGGTGGTGGTGAAAACTAAATGATCTGATATCTGTAAAGCACATAAAGCCTGTCTTTATCTGTAAGGCACATAAATACCTGGCTCCTAACAAATGTGCAATAAAAGGCAACTATTACTATTAAAAATACTAATAGCCTGGGTAACAGACTGAGGCTCCTAAAAAACTTAAATTTTAAAAAATCCAAATTTCCATATTTAAGTTGGTTGAATAAAAGAAACTTTAATTTTCTTTTTTTTTTTTTTTGAGACGGAGTTTCGCTCTTGTTACCCAGGCTGGAGTGCAATGGCGCAATCTCGGCTCACCGCAACCTCCGCCTCCCGGGTTCAGGCAATTCTCCTGCCTCAGCCTCCTGAGTAGCTGGGATTACAGGCACGCGCCACCATGCCCAGCTAATTTTTTGTAGTTTTAGTAGAGACGGGGTTTCACCATGTTGACCAGGATGGTCTCGATCTCTTGACCTAGTGATCCACCCGCCTCGGCCTCCCAAAGTGCTGGGATTACAGGCGTGAGCCACCACGCCCGGCCTGAAACTTTAATTTTCTTGGATACTTAGAAATTTGCTAAAATAGTCTTGTGCTACTGATTTCTTCCTCACTTTCTCCTTTCAACATCTGATAAGTTATTTATAATATTGACTTTCCAAAATAATGTACTTTTCTATTATAGCTCTACTTGCTACCTAAAACTTTAATAGCCTACTTTTTTAATTTCTCCTTTTACTCTAAGTAAATGTAAGTCTTAAAAAATGTTGTCAATGAGAACTTAAATTCTATTGTTTTCAATAAGGAGCAAAAGTAAGATACTAAGGAACAATTCAAAGCAAATTACCACATTTCCACTATATCATCTAGAAATGCCATTAAGTTTGAACACTAGCTCTGCTTTCTGTATACCGTGAGTCAGTAAACAAGTCAACACAGATGCAACATTCTACCCTAGAATATTGAACCCGTTTTTCTACATTATCTAGTTCAAAATAAAAGACAAAAGAAGGAAAATCTAACACTTAAGATCCATTAAATATATATTGATGCACTGAAAACACAGCTAGTACTCAAAGAGAAACATTTTTAAATCAACCAAATCAAAATTACAAGCCATTTCTTTAAACCTTAATAATAAACGTTAACTAATTTACTACCTTTTTTAAGGGTGTAAGCCTGCACTGGATTTCTTTTCCATTTGACTTAGATCAAGGAACTTAGAACTATATTAAAACTGACTCAGTAAAAGCAGTTATAAAAGAAGAAAAAAAAAATCACATGCCAATGAATTTCTATTACTATGTTATTTTGCCCTTTAAAGCTAGTTTGTTTCTTAAGAGCAGTTTAGCTACAAAGCTGTCATGTGCCCTGCTCCAGGATTTACATTGTCTTTTACATGTTTAAGATCACAGCAACAACACGGAGCCTTAACAGAGAGTCCCCGGGGCACATTTAAATCTTTAATAGCAACAAATTTTCTTCTTTCCTTTAAGTGTGCTGTATCATGTATTGTACTACTGCATTTCCTTAGAAGTTAGTGAGTCTAAATTCTCATAGCTATAGATACTCAGAAAAATATAGCTTTTCCTTTTAGAGAGTAGTGAAAAGGGGAAAAGAAAAATGTTTGTAGACCTCTCACTTAACCATAAAACGCTCTACAACTTTGACAACAAGCATGTTTATCAAGAGGCTCTAACAGATAACACACTCCAAGACCTAGAACAAATAGGGAATTAAAGGCCCTTTGTCTGCTTTAAATGGACCAGCAAGCTTGGTTAAGAATGATGCCATTGGAATGAAATAAAAATCACATGTTAATTCCCACACAGGCCAATGAAATTTCCAGCAAAAAATTATGAACATAACCTTTCCCAATTTATCCTAATCACTCAGCAGTGCTACAACTGCACGCCTTTGGTCACAAGGCCAACAACATGTAGATCATTCACTGGTAAACTAACAACACTATAGAAAAACAAGTCTGTGCTCATATTAAACAGTATCATTTACTTGAAGGTACAAACTATCAAATCAGATTTTTTTTTCCAGTAACGTTAAAGAATAAGTTATATTGCTGAAAATTAGAAAATCATTGTTCTTACTCTATTTCATAATTAAATCTTTCACATGCACACAAAATAAAAGTCAGTGAACAAATAGTTTAAGCTTAACAGAATATAATGAGACTCTGATCTAAATTAGACCACATGGGCTATACATTGAAACCACAAGTTGTTTATATTTATGTATATTAAAATTTTGAAGTAGCTTTAAGGACATTTGTAATGTTTTCAATCAAGCAAAAATTCTATTAAGTACTGAGTATGTATAAAACACTATCATGGAAACTTAATTAAAATTTTTTAAAGATGGAAAACTGATGTCTATCTCTAAAATTCTTTTGGACACCTAACACAGCTCCAAAACCATCAAACATCAATAAAATAATACATATTTTTAGAAGGGCTCTATATGCATAATACAGCAGAATTTTATTGCTTAGAACACATACTACACATTTATATTAACATAGATTTTCCTGTCATGTTCTTTGAATTTCTAAATCATGCTTTTTCTCAAATCAAGTTAGAGATTCTCCCCCACGAGAATTAGATAAAGTAATGGAAAATTTTAGCCTTTAAGTTCATCCAGTTGGGGATTATTTGTGCCAACAAAAACCAAAACAAAAAAAGTAAGTTTCTTTTCAAGGCAAAAAGCAAAACAAAGCATTCATATTCTAAATCCCTGAACCAATATCTAATTTAAAAATAGCTAGGTGGATATTAAATTGTTCAAAGAAATTTATTTTTCAGCCATGACCAAGGAAAGGAAATTCTATACCAACATTTACAAAAAAAAAAAACAAAAAAAAAAAAAAAAAAAAAACACATACCACATGCTTTGGTAGGTGAAAAGTATAAATGCTTGAAAGAAGTCCAAAAGGAATTCAATAATGATACTATTATGGTACCACATATGCTTGGGGGATATCAAAGTAAGAGAAATTCAAAAAACTTGGTATGAATTGCACTGTGTATATTTTCCAGGCAAAAATGCTAAGCACATAGTAAGTAAAGTCACAATATAAAACAATTCCTGTTTTTCAAAGGATAATATCCAATATCTTGTAGTTACGTAGGATTGATCATAAGTTAAATACTATTTCTGATAGTAATAGTAATCCTTAATAATGTTCCTTACAGCAGCTCAAGGTTTCATTTTGAGAATAGCCTAGATTTGTTTTTTTTCATTTTTCTCTTCTTATGATAAGATGTTTATTATTTCAAGAATGCCAAGAATCCAGAAGGGATCTTATAGGAATTATCTTGGTGGAAAAGACAGACGTTTTTTACTGACCTATTTTCCCAAATGAACAAACAAACTTCTTGGTTCCACTATGTCCATACCTACGGAATCTACTGCTGTTTAGGGCATCTAGTGCCAATAAACCTAAACAAGGTTATGGTTCAACCACCGATTCCCTTTGCTCTTTTCATGGCCACAATCTTTACCCTAAACCTAGTCAAGGGCCTTAGAGGAGGCTAACTAGACCAGAGACTATGAATGAATCAGCAGAAATTCAATACCATGACTACAAAAATAACTCAAAGGTAAAACTCCTGTTGACCAGTATCAAGATTTCATCCTTCAAATGTTATAAATTTGCCAACCTGCAAAACCAAACCTTAATTACTTCATAAAAAAGCCAGTATGTTAAAAAGATATACAAGTCTTTCAACTTCTTTAATTCAAAAGCAACAGTGGTAATGAGTATTATGCCCTGACATGCCATTGCTTTTACTGGAACAGACTATATTTTTATGCAATCTTTTACTTAATAAAAATCTTGCAAGTAAAGTTAAATGTGAGCCCAACAAGTACACTTTCCAGGATTTCCTTCAAAATCAAAAAACAAACGCTCCTATTAGAAGTTCTGTTTTTATCCGAGTAGCTT